CTGCAAGTAGGAGTAATGCTTCCTATTGGTTTGAATTCCCGTGTCTCCTCTCACTAATTTTTGAGCGGGAGGGAGTCAATTTAAATGGCATACCTCAACCTCCTATACAAACCATGCATGAGTTGAGTGTTTCTACTCTTAATGGCATGGACATTCCAACGGATAATATAGCTCACCCATGGAGAGGGAGACCAAGGGTGCCTCTAGATCCAAGTAAGGATTGCTGGTCCATCTACTTCTGCACCACCACCACCTCCATTATCACGTCCTTCTTTGCGGAGGGTATTAGAAGCTATTCGTTGCTTTCAGGCTCATGCGGTGGAGAGAGTTGATAGGGTCGACGCCAGCCATGATACATTTGACATTTAGATGCACCATGTGGACGATCGATTGTGCATTATTCCTCAGCCGCAATCTATTCTTGAGGACCAAGTTGATGGTAGAGAATTCGAGAGGCCAAGTGGAGGAGGTAGTCCGGCAGCTTGACATGATCCACCTTGACTTGGCCTTCGAGCCTTTTATTTTCTCTAACTTTCTTGCTTCCATGAACAATTGTAGCTTCTTTTAGTTTCTTTTTAAATACTAATGGTTATGTGAACTTATGAAGTCACTACTTATGAACTATGTGCAGTACTAGTAGATGTGTAGATTAATGATTTGTGAGTTATGATTGAACTGGACGTCAACCTTTGACATTTGGAGAGTATTTCTTTCATTTGTTAGTTTATCTTTCTCTACACATTGAAAACAATGTATATTTTAAGTGTGATAGGAGAGTTTAAATTTGTGTTATATGTGGTTGTGTGCATAAATTACTTGGATTTGGTATTGCAAATATTACTTGTGTTGAAATTTATTGGAATTCGGGTTTGTTGGTAGGGAGTTTCGTCTAGTTATAAGAAAAAACTCTGCCAAATAGTTTTCAAAATCTTGTCCAAAATTGCAAATGACCCCAAAAATTTTTAAAAATTTTCAATTTGATCCAAAAATGCAAAAGTTCAAACCATTAGCATTCAGTTTCCTTTTTTTAAATAAATATATGTGACTTGAAAAATTAAATTTTCATTTGACTTGGAAATAGTTATTGTGTGATTAGGATTTTTGCATTTTAGAAAGTATATCAAATAAAATGGGAAATTTGTGCCTAAAATTTTGCTTGTTGAATGAGATTTCTCCCTTTCACTTAATCTTGTAAGTAACTGATTGATATAGTTAATAGAATTATCCTCTTCTTATAATTTATCTTATAGAGGGATCAATCAAAAAATTACATAAAAAAAATATATGAAAAAAAAGTTATTCTACTCCAATGATTTAAGTACTAAATAACCAGAGGTTGCCATCTACAAATGCTAACTTTTGCGTCAAAAGGTACTTGTATTAATAGTACGATAAACAATTCAAATAAGTGAAGTGTTGAATAACTGGTGGCTTGTATCTAAAAATGTAGACCTTCACATCAAAAGCCATTTTCCCTATTTGAGTAAGTCAAATATGAATAGATCCCTTTTAGTGTTGAAATTTTAAGAAAAGGAAGATTGTGGAGAAGGAAAGTTTTGAATTGAAAAAATTAAGTTTAACCTGTTAAAATTAGAGTATAATTGTCTATCTTTTACTTGATATTATGAGTATTTAAGGAAAGTTCAATGATTGCATTACGATGATTTACCAAGTTATAAGGAATTGAATTCTAAAACTTCACATGATTTATTTCAAGTAATTGAATCATTGTTAATTGGTTTTTCCTAATGCTTGATGACAAGTAATGATTCAAGTATGGAGGAATTTGATAACTGTTTTATTTACGCGTTTTAAGTGTGTTTATTTATTTAGTTTTGGATTGCTTTTCAGATTCTTAAGTATGATTTTTGCTCTTTTAAGCTACTTTTCCATTTTATAACCAAAACTTGCATTTCAGCATCTTAATGTGCAAAACTTGTAACATTTGCAGGATTTGGAGATTAATGATCACTTTGGATCAAGAAAAATTCATACAATAACATTAGATGTTATTCAAGGATGATTTGGAGATGACAAAAGAAACAAGTGCATTCTCTGAGTAGAAAATAGGACCTAAATATGCTGGGGAACCTATGTTCTAGTTCTTCATTTTAATTGGAGCAGAAAAGGACGAACAAAATACAGGTGAGGCAATATGCGGGTGAAATACGCAACCTTACTCCTACATAATAACCCCGCGTATTCTTAAGGTGGTTATGCAACTTGTATAGCCACTTGCTCTATTTTTCTATAGCTTTTACATCTCAATTCTTAGCTAAAATTTCGGTTGTAGCTACTCAAGAAAGTTTAGAAAAGTGTGAAGAATCTTTATGGCATCTCAAATGAAGACTTTTGGTCCTTCTAACATCTATATATACTCATTGTGTTGGAAGATCAAGAGAGCTTTTTGGAGTGTATTCTTAGACATTGAAAAACCTTGAGAGAGGTAGTTTAGATAGAAGAAGAGCTTGTAAACTTAATAGATTGAAGCAATATTGTAAAAGGAAACTTGTGGAGATCATCTTGAATAAGAATCTTTCATCCTTTACTATTTACATTTTCTTATCAGTCGCACATTTTTCTATAAGTTATTTTCTCCTAGGGTGAGAATGAACTTATTTGCATCATGATATGAAATGATTTTTGGTTGATTTGTGCTATCTTGTGAACTTATTAGTTCATCCATCTATGCTTTATATTTGGCTTGATAACCAACTATGAATGATCTAATCATTTATTGTGCATATGCAAGTGTTGACCAAAATTCATGAACCCTAAAGATCAGAGAAATTTCTAAGTTTGTGATGAAATTTAAAAAATTCTACAAAAGGGGCGATTTCGGTGAGGTATTCCATAGGGGAGTTTTCGCATTCCTGGAATGCGAGCTCAGCAGAATTTTTTATTTTTTTTTTCGGAGGGCATAGAGCTCGCATTCGCGGAATGCGAGCTCTCCCAAATTTAAATTTTTTCGCATTTGCAGCAAAGGAATGGACTAGTGCATACGCAACTGGTGCATGACAAAGAAGGCAGGATATCGTGGTTAAAAAGGATTTTGGCAACTCTTGTTGTATGTTTAATTGACAGGCAAGGCAAGTTTGTCGTTTGAGTAATAGATGAATTAGTCTTTCAAACTATGTGCCATTGGTGTCCCTAAAACTTCCGCATTCAGCTGTATTTTACTATTTTCCGGTTTAGAAGGCTTGCTTTAAATATGTACAGCCGCCGTGCTATATTTTGTTATAAATTTAGTGGTAAGGTACACTTCTATAGATTGCTTGTCATACATTTTAAGGATAATTATAGAAACTTCCTTTAAGATTTTTGACAATTTCACTGGGCTCCCATAAGGTTTGCAAGACTACACCTGCCTACCTTGATTTGATTTAACTAAACATTAAAATAACATTGACCTAGGTCAAAGTTTTAAATGAGTAACCTAAAATGCTGATTTATTATAGTGATAGGATATTTTTTTATGGTGTTTATTAGGGATTGATTGAGAAATTGTTGAAATAATTCTTTTAAAGTTCGTAAATTTTTTGAGTGATAAAATTACCATAATTTGGTAGTTGGGTCATATCTTTTAGATTTATTATAAGTATGACTTTCAGAAAATTAAATTCAAACTTGCTAGGAAAAAAATTTTAAATGAAATTTACGAGCTCCCAAAAAAATGTAAAATTAACTGTAAATGTTATTTGTTTTGTAGAATTTGTCTTTACTAAAATGCTGTTGGTAATAAAATCTTATTTTAAAAGCTGTACTAAAATCTTAAATCTCGGAGAAATGTTAGAGAAATGTTATTTAAAAATCTGTAATTAGTAGAGGAATAAATTTTATTTATTTTAAAACTTGCACGTGCCTAAAGTTATCAAATATGTGCTCTAAAAAAAATCATATTTCTTTTATATTAAAAAAAATTGGCCCAAGTTTCGTCAATGCTCCGGCTCCAAGAGAAGAACAACCGGGACCTGCAAAGAGCTTGGAATGCCTAGCACTTGATAAACTAATTAAATTAAGCGTATGAAGGGCTGAGGATAAAGGAGAATTTGAGCTATTTTGCTTTTCAAAAAAAAAAAAAAAAGTAGCAAAATTGGTAAAAATCAAGGATTTGTGAAACATGTATGAAGTGTGTGAAAATTGCGGATGGAAGAGGAAGAAGTGAAAAATAAAAAAAAAATAAAATAAACTGGCAACATTTAGCAACAGTACCTCCATTGAGCCACAGGACAAGTGGATTAGATGAAGAGTTTCTTGGTGATTCGACAAAATAGTAAAACAAAGCTTGTCCTGAATTGGGATCAACAGTAACATATCACTGAGCTCGCATTCGCAGATGCGAGCTCCAATGCAAGCTCGCATTCCCGGAATGCGAAAACCCTCATTTGCAGAATACACTCCAAGAACCGCCCTCGGTGTAGAATTCTTTTTTTTTTCCATCATAAACTAAGAATTCACCCCTAAAGATCATGTTCACGAAAGTAGTAGATGTATTTAGGTGGATTTTATTTAACTACTTCATAGATCTTAATGAGTTTATGTCAAGTTAACTCATCATGCAAATAGGTGAAGGCTCAGTGTGAGTATGTTTGGATAAGGGCGAAAGCGTTATTCGAATAAAATTGGAAGAAATCCTTGACAAGTCACATGTTTAAGGCATTAATCAACCGGATTATTCTTAATTTTGAGCAACAAAGGATTCGTAAACCTTAGAAAATTCTTCTCCTAAATTCATCATTGTCAATTACTCGCTTAATTTAGTATAATTAGTAGTGTAATGCTTTTACTTAATTTTTTGAGTGTTTAGATAATAGAATAAGTTTAAAAAGTAGAAATAATTGCTCGATTCCCTTAGGGATTGACCCTAATTATCACTAAGTTTATTTGACCATATACTAGCAGTAAAATCAAGAAATTGAGATTAATTGATTTAATAATTAGAAATTTTTAACTCAAAAGCTGAAACCACATCCTCTAGAATTGCATCTCATTCTATGTCATCAAGCTATGATCTCATCTATCTTACATTCTCTAAGCTGGACATCTGCTTTCCCAGAGCCCTTTACACTGAGGACATCGCAACATTCTGCCCTTTGAACCTGAAAAAAAAGAAAAGAAAAGAAAAGAAAAGAATGTTAAGTTAATTATTTTTCTCTTGTTTGTAAAATGATCTACTTATACGGGAATACTCTTCATCTTTTCACATTTTATAGTGATAGAATTATAAATGAGTTAGATCGTGTATTAATAAACCAAATAGAGCTATTATTCCCTCAGTTAGGTCTTACATTGCAAAGGAGTAATACTCCATGCTTAATTTTTTTTAATTTGTGCTTTTGTAATGGAGATTAGGCTTTAATCCTCTTCACTTTATTTCATGATACTAACTTTGATCTGGCATCCCTCTCCTATATATAAGATTTTCCAAAAAAAAAAACTGGAGTTGTTATTTCTTAATCTTCTGTATTTTCACGTTCCTGTTCGAAAGAAGGAGAATAAACTTCCTCCATTATTTTAATAGAAACCCCAAAGTTGACGGTGCGCTCAATTAAATAGAAACCAAATAGGGACAAAGCCAAATAGGTACTATTAAAATATATGTAAATTAACAGAAAAATAAGTACAGATATAAAGTGGAAATTCTTACATTTAAGGCTAATCTTGAGTGGGTTGCGAACGGATTTTTTAACCAAAACTGCTGAAATAGTTGCTTCAAAATGATTAATTTTTGAAATAATTTTACTATATTACTTTCTACTTAAATCTACCAGTTCAGAAGATCTTCCAGAATATTAAAAAAATCCACAGAAATGCAGGTGTATTTCATTGTTTTAACTTTTTAACTTACTCTCAGGCCGCTTGGTTGCTGGTGAGAAAACGTGAACCTGTGAGACAAATTCAGCAGAATGGTTACCACTTGCAGGACAAGCCGGTAAATTTCGAGGTGCTGATCTTGCATAGACGGTAAGAATTTCGTTGTTTGATGTTTCCTTTATTGACTCGAAAAAAGACGTGAGGAGCTTCACAAGGATCACCAAACGGGCGTCTGGTGTTAAACATGAAAAGTGGTGGCTTGTTGCTCCTTGACCATCCCTGAACGTTTCAATTGGGGTCATCAGCCAACTTCTGGCATCACTTTTTCATAAATATGGGCAGAATATCCCCAGGAAACGGAAAATGTCCAGTTGGTTGGTCTATGGTGGCAAATTGTTTGCTGAAACAGGCGTGATTGATCGACATTTCCTGCTTTCATGAGGTGCTGCGCTGATTGAAATCTATCTTTTTTAGGGAATATTGGATCTAACACATCCCAGTGGTGTATAGACAAGACGAGCTCTTTGGGATGGGATGATAAGAAACCTGAAATAATCACCTCTTAAGTCGTTCTGCAATGAAAAATTATTACTGTGAATATTATAATTATACATTTATTGGCATTTGATTAAAAAAATCAAGATTAGAATAAAAGATAAGTGCAGCTGATAAAAAAAATGCAAATAGCAAAACGAAAGATGTATATATCCATGAAATTAGCTGTAATAAAAAATTGGAGGAATGCTTATGAAAGAAAATTTACCTGATGAACACCTTTATGGGGTGTTAAATTAGCTCCAATATCAGCTAAACAGGCCATAGTCATTAGATCAGCCGAAAGGTCTGAATATTTCCTGAGGCAGCGATCCATATCTCTTACAAGTGCTTTTGCCAAAGGGTAACTAAGAATAATCCCACCTCCACCAAATGCCTGGTTAAAATTGAACCAATAATTGGACAAAACAAATTCAGATGGATACCCAATGTAGTAGTACTTTGTATGATCATACTTCGAAAGAACATGAACCAGATTATCTACAAAAAACATTGTATCATCATCGCCCATGATTATCCACCTTATGCCTTCATGTTCCTCACGAAACAATTCCAATATCCCATGTACCATTCGAGGCATGAGAGCACTTCTCGGCCTGATTTCTTGAATCAATTTGCTGAGATCATCATTCATTCGATACTGAGGAGACTTTGGAGACCATGGAAGAAGATCTGCCTGTAGGTTCTCTATCAATGTAAACGTATCCCCTTGTTATGTTTGGTCTCCACCAAGCCTCCAAGTAAGCCTTTCTGAAGTGGTATGTTTTCTCAGAGCCTTGGAGACCAAACGCTAGGTGACTAACATTTGTGGGAACATCATCGTCAACAGTAGATGCAGGTTGTGAAGATGAAGGGCTTATTTTCCAGGTTGACAAAAACCCTGAAGCCTTACATGTTGGATCATTGAAAAACAAAACAAGAATGGCAAAAATTATTAGACCTGAAATCACAAATACTCTGCAGAGGTTTCTGACTACAAAATTGTCTGACCACAAATTTACTTTTTCTTTGAACTCTGAAACGTTGGCCCCTGCTGTTGACGCCATTTAGAGCTATTGAATTTTTGTCCTAGAATACACAAACCAAAAGAGGAACATGTGAACTATGGAATGTGATGCATTGTTCCAATAGATTGTACTAGTATTTAAGGTTGGTTTACTAAGCCTCATTAATAGTCTTCAGTTGGCTAACTCAATCCCTTTTGAGTAAAAGAATGATAAAGTGGTTTTTACACTTGTAACAAAAAGGAAGAAGGATTAATTAGATTTTTCTTTGTTGTTATGGTAATTATGTTTCTATTTCACTTTCAAAACATTATTCCTTATTCTTGAATTAGACGTATCATGCAACTATAATACTATACAAAGTCACTGACCAATTGCGGAATGAACGGATCTATCAATTCTTCCAATACAATTAAATATTGTTTTATTAGATCCCAAGGAAAGGTGCAAGCTATACAGAAATAGCAAATTTTTACTTGCATTGATAGCTAAATTGGTTAAATATTCTTTTTGTCCAGAGTTTCACCGAAAATGTTTAAATTACGTCTTCTAAAAATACTTATGGAACAACTAAGAGGTGCTAATATGACACATGCAATAGCTCGAACAAAATTCTTAAGCAACAGCATGTGATTATATAATATATGTGAAGTAACTGGAATCCACATAAAGAGATCGACATAATTAAAATGGTCAATGTTTAGATACGCACTTGAATTTTGATCAACTTTAGCTGCAAATATATTAACTTTTGAGATGCTATTTAGCCATCAAAAAAAAAAAAAAACACAAAAAGCAAGAGGGGTGAGTGGAGTGGTTGCCAACCTTAGGGATGTGGGGAGGAAGAAGAAGAGTGGAAAGAAGGAAAAAAAAAGAAAAAAAATTCTTCAAAACCTCAAATAAATAAAAGTTTTTTTTACAACTTTTACAATAAATTATAATAAAATTTTATATAAATATCCAAAACTACACCATCCAAAAAGTTGATTTGTCAATATTGTAATTTGTGCATGGCTTCAACTTCAAGGTAACCTCGACAAACAACTACAAGGAAATGACGTAGAAGACACGGGGAAGAAAGGCATGCAAGATACTTAAGAATGAATGGACTAGCCATCATGGCTTCGATTGCCATGAAACTCGTGTAGCTAACCGTTGTGGGCTGGCCTGGGGTTCGATTTGAACCAAAGAGGATGGACCATCAGAGCTGGCAATACCTTCGTGTTAGGAAATTGGCTTAATCACTTATGGACAGGTTTCTTATTTTATGTAGAAGTAACTAGTGTTTTTAATTAGTTTTAGTTATTTGAAATAGTAACCAAGGAATTTTTTAATTTGTTTAGAATTTAGAAGTTATTTTCTATTCTGTACAAGTCTAAGAATCAGTACTAGTTTCTTGTTGTTATTTGAATTTTGATCAAATAATATTCTCTATAAATAAAAAGGTTGGCATATTACATAAGGGACACACAAGAGCACATAAAAGGCGACATATAACCTTATACATGAGATGAGAGGGGGTTCTTGGAAGATGAAAGATAGTATACAAGAGTTGGATTTGGGTTCAAATTATATTCTTATATAGGGTTTTCCTCTCATAATAAATAATGAGTTTCTCTCCATGAACGTAGGCTCAATGGTGGAGTCGAACCACATTAAATTTTATGTATTGTTTATCTTTTATATTTATACCTTATTTATCATTAAATTATTATGTATTTGATATCTTAAAAATTGTGTGTTCTGCACTTGAATCCCTAACACTTCACGGTTAGTGGCCAACTAGCTCGACCAATTGACGCAAGCAATCTTTACCTATGGGAGTCGGTGCTGATTTGGCAGCTGGTAACCCTTCACTCCCGAATTAACTTTACTTCCCTGGTGCTGGAGTCTCCGGTTTAACACTACTCAAGGTCAGGGTTCAAACCTCATTTAAAGTGAAAAAAAAAAAATTGAAAGAAGATGTCAGAATATCCATTTTGGTTTAATCAGTATATCTGCTAGCCCAACCTCTTTATGCTCCCTTTTTCTGTAAAATAGGACGAATTAAGTTATAAAAATATTATCGTTGCGACAAAAAAAAGAGACTCCAGCTTAATACCCTATCAATATGGTTAAGAACTTAACGCACAACACTAATATGACTAGAAAATAAATAAAAACAAATAGAAATTCTAAACAAAACTATAATAGCTACCCTAATTAAGAATCCTAAACGGCTTCTCGAGGTACATTATGGAGGGTATATGGCTAGGTTCAAACCTTGAGGTCCCTTGTTCCACTTGTCGAGTTCTGTGGAGAATCTTGATGCAGAAACAACAATTAAATACGTCTATGAATTTTGTATAGCCACGCCTTCCTCACGAACCTTTGTGTCTTGTCAAAATTTTAAGTTGTGTTTGGATTGCAATTTTTTGAAGTTTTTGTAAAATATATATTATACCGATTTGATATATATAGGTAAAAAAATGATTGAGAAATGTGTTCACGGAAACGGATTGACAACTTGGTAGTTTGACTTAAATATCTTGATGGAAATTGATTGTTCAACTTAATTGATCAACCTTGACAACTGGAAACCTGGAAATAGATTGTATGACTTCAGCCTTGATAGCCTTGAGAAAAGAAAACAATACATGTATTTTCGAGGTCAAAATTAGATACCGTGGCATGGTGTGCGGTGACCCTTCAGTGAAAAGAATACATTCATTTCTTTGTGAAAATTGGATACAAGGGCATGGTGTTTAGTGGCCCTTCATCCAGCCATTGATGAGTAGACTAATGAGCATCCGCCAACACTTGTGTCGATATGATCTAATAAGATTATCTATAACTAAAACAATAAACAAAATTAAATTATCTACAACCTAAAGCTCCCAATATTAAGAAAATTTTGGGCAAATGTTGTCTACCCTTTTGCTGAATAAATATGTATTTGTGATTTAATGAATAGGTTAAAATCTAGTTTCTTTGATTTCATTGAGTGCAAAGTTAATCTTATTTTGCAGAATGTTTAATTTCACATGCCAAAACTGGATTCAATTTGAAGTCGTTTAGTTGAGTGGATTGCATATTAGAATCTTATGGGGCATGTTAAACCAATAACAAACTAAGAGTGCAAATAGAAAATGTAAAATCCTAGGGGCATTTTGTGACTAAGATTTTATTCATTCAAAAAACTTTTTTTTTTTTTTTGGTTGCATTTGTACAAGGAAATAGTTATTATTGTCTATTAACAATACATGTTACAAAAGATAGACTTTTCTACAGCAATTGTGCTATAAAAATTTCAGTAGTCTATATTTCTATATCCGCGATATTGTACAACTTTCTAGTGGAGAAGAAAGAACCAAAATTTGATTTCCATCTTAAGACTCGTATCAGCTTTAGGCAATAATCTCATCTGCCATGCATTCCCTGAATTTCACCTCTGCTTTGCCCGTGTTGTCAACGCGGACAATATCACAGCACTCCGATATATGGATCTGTGAAATAAAAAAAAATAAGAAATATGATATGTACAGTTTTCATCAGATATTAGACTCATTTATTAAGATGTACAATAAATCTTTTTTGGTTCTACTAAAAATATTTAAGAATAATACTTTGATTGTGATGTTGGCATTTTTTTCGCTCTAAAATTTGGGATAATTTCACTAGCCTCCCCTGAAATTTGTAAAATTATACAAACCTCTCCTGAGGTTAAGGTTTTGATAACAAAATTAGTCCAATTAGAAAAAGTAATATTAAAAAAGTACTTTAAGGAGAGAGATGAAACTTTTGTTCCATAAATACTCCTTATACATGTATATAAGTTGTATTAGTAAAAGAATAAAAATAATTAAAAGTTAAAGTTAATTAATACACATTATTTTACTGCTCAAAAAGTTCACAATTAAAAATTAAATAACACAAATAAGCAACAAAACTACACTAATGATCACAAGATTTAACAAAACAGTAGTCATCTCTTTTAACATAATGTTTGCTATGATTCTTGTGATTTTGAATAGAAAAAATAATTTTGCCTTTTTTTCCCTCCATTCTCCTTTACTAATATCTAAGATTAAGTAATTAGAGCACTAATTAACTATTAATAACTAATTAATAAAAATAACTACTGAAATTTTCTTTAATGATGGATGATAACTTGTATATACAAAATAACATCAATTGATATATCTAATGGAGGAAGGAGGAAAAAAAAAAAAGGCAAATTTCAAAAATTTTTCTTTTTTTTTTTAATGGCAAAGTCCCATTCACGGGAAGGGTGGGGTGCCAGCATACAATTTATTAAAACATTCAGAAGAATACAAGGAAAGAGATGACTATTCTATTTTGTTGAATCTTGTGATTATTAGCATAGTTTTGTTGCTTATTTATGTTGTCTAATTTAGTAAATATGAACTTTTTAAGTAGTAAAATGTGTGTATTAATTGTTTCTGACTTTTAATTGTTTTTATTTTTTTTACTAATATAACTTATATTCATGTATAAGGGTATTTATGAAATAAAAGTTTCATCTTTCTCCTTAAAGTACTTTTTTAATGTTACTTTTTTTAATTGG